CTTTTTATTTTATGTCGTCTTATGTTTGTACGGTGTGTTGTCATTTTGCGTTTTAAGTATAAAAGCTGCTTAGAATAGTTCTATCATGAAGGGCACTTTTCAGACTGTGGGCTGGAAAGGGTTATTTTATGGCGGGGTGGGGGAGACTTGAAGCCTATTTAAAGTGAGCCTGTGACGATTATGCACATTACCAGAGGCGGCGGGCGGGCGGGTGGGCAGCTGCGTTGTGCAGGCACAGAGCTGAGACGTGGCTAATGCTCTGTCCCCTGGATCCGCCTATGCACATTTACCCTTGTTTCATTACTTTTTCATGTCATTTTTTTTATCCCAAAAAATTATTTTTAAAAAGTTAAAAAAAAAAAGACATATCAGACATGCAAATACTTGAACCCAGCAGGCCAATACCGAAATGTGAACACTTCCACGTTGACATCTGTGCACAGAAACAGGCTCTAGGAAATGTCCACGTCATAGCCTACATGTGCGTGTGTGCGTGTGGAACAGTGTGTGTGCGTGTGCGTGCTTGCACGGTTAGCGTTTATTGTATGCGTGTTTGAGAGTGTGTGAGGGATTTAACTGTGGGTTTCCCTTTTATTCAGTATATGCTTTTTTTTTTTTTTTGCGCATTGGTCAAATGTTCTCATTGTTGTTCGCTTCTAACTTTGCACTGAGGTGTCCCTGCCCTTCCTTCAGCTGATCCTAGACAGTAAAGAGAACGTGGGACAGGGCTGGTGACAATTCATGTGTAAATGTTTACTCAAGGACTCTGTTATTGCATTTAAAGTTACAGTGTATATCTCTGGAGAATAATATGTCTATCTACCTTTAGCAGCTTTTCATTGTGGACTAATGCAAGAAGATTATTACCAGAGTATTGCACCATTTCCCATCTGGAATATAAAGTTAAAGAGAAAAACAAAACTGTTGTTGAACTGTGGCCATAGATACTTGTAGAGAATGGGTGTCCCGCAAGGAGCGGGAACAAGCACTTGGACATGGGTTGTGACTGCTTTTGGAGGAGCTGTGCTTTGGGCTCCCACCTGTTTACAGACCTTTTTTCTCCTTCAGACTTTAAAATAAAATTTTAAAAAAAATTTAAAAAATTTAAAAGGAATAAAAAAAAAAGACTTCCATCTTTAAAAAAGGAAAAAAAAACCAAGCAAACAAACAAAAACCTATTTTCAGAATGCAGATGTGTTACTTCAGAGCTCTGGGATGGGGCGTGCTGCTCCCTCCAGCCATCATGGACTCTGTCAGTTGTCTTCACCCTTCCTCAAGGTGATGAGGCATTGTGGTCTCTGTCTTGCACATGCCGGCTAGCTCTCAGGAAAGCCAGGGCTCCCGGGGGCAGCTCCACACCATTTCATGTATTTTTAAACCCAACTCCTAGCACTGAAGATGTTATTTAAAAAAAGAAAAAGAAAAAGAAAAAAAAGAAAAAGGAAAAAACAGAAAAAAAAAACCACAAAGAAGAAAAATACCTAATCTCTAATGTGTAGCAGTTACATATTTACCAAATAATGGACTCAAAAGAAATAGATGTTTGAAGAGTGCTTTATATATTAAAAATTGCTTTATGTTTTAAAGATGATCAATGTTTTGATTGTTTTGCAAGGAAGAAAGACAATGAAATAACACACCCTCAAGTATGTTTTAAAAAAATATATGAACATTGTACTCCCTGCCTATGTGGTAAGGAAACTTGTGCATTACATTTTTTAATTAGCTTTTTAATGGTTTTATCAAAACAAGGAAGAAAGCAAATCCTGCAGGACCGCAGAGAAACGCTGGTTCTCTAGAGGATCGTGAGCTATGCACAACTGGGTTCATCGTGTATCCCCCGGAACGGCCTCCTCAGAGTGACTGCATCTCATCGCCATCACGTGCGTCCTAGATATTTGATGTATGTATATCAAATACGTGCGTGTGCGTGCGTGTGCTCTCAGACCTACAGCTTGCCATGCTGCCATTTAGCACTGAGTTATAGAAAAACTCCTAATGTTTTAAAACTGGGGATGAAGTAAAGGATGTTTTCAATTTTTGTGCCCCCCCTTTTTCTTTCTTTTTTTTTTTTTTTTTTTGAATCTTTTGAATTTAAAATGTCTCTGACTCTAAGATTAAAAGAAAAAGCATTTGTGGCGCTTAGTGCCCCTCCTCATGGAATGTGGTGGTTGGACGCACACCAGAGGTTGCTTTTAAAAATACAGCGCTTTGTTGAGTCTTAATAAACTGCGGTTTTTCTTGGCTATTCACTCTTGCTGGGTCATTATCTATCTGTGAGAGGCAGGGACTTTCTTTTTCACTTTCTGCTGAGTTTGCATTCATTCCTGGCTAAACTCAGTCTTGGCTGTTTGACTTGAAGCATTGCTTTGGTTTTGCTAAGAATATGTGGATTCTGTCAGTAGCCACTGAGAGACAGAACAGCTTCTAAGTCCCCCTGGCCTGACTGAATTGGATGCATTTGAAGACCAGTATAACCCAGGCAAGCAGCGGGTAGAGCCAGGGGCTGCAGGTTTCCAGAAGTACCACCCATGCTCATTGTCACATGTCCAATACAGGCATTTAAAAAGAAACCAGAGAGGCTGGGATGTAGCTCACTGGCAGGGCTTTTGTGTGTAGGCACAGGGTACTGGGCTCCATCCGCAGTGCTGTCTGGAAAAATCACGGTGGTATGTGTCTGTAGTGGTCCCAGCACCCAGGAGGCTGGGGAGTAGCACTGCCTGAGTCCACAGGCCATGCAACAAGGGCCCAACTCAGAAAAAAAAAGGGGGGCATTAATATGCTTTCTAAGTGTTTTATTGATCTCTGCCCCTAAAACGTATTGGCTAAAACGCACAAAACAGCAGCATTGTTGCCCTAGGACTCATGGGTGGCACTAGGTCAGTTCTCACGTGCTATTGTTGACCCACCATGAGCTGAGGAGGAGAGCTGGTAGCTCTGCTGAGGAAATCACCCAAGGGGCCCTGGCCTCATGGGAATCCAGAGGAAGAGTGAGACTCAGGATTTCAAGCTGCCCTTGGCCTTCTAGCAACCTCCAGCTCAGCTGACCAGAGCTTCAGCAGAAGAGCAGACTACAGCTAGCCTTGGAGCTGCTGTGGCACAGGCGTTTTTGTCTCCTGTAGGTAAAGAAGCAGTGGCTTAGAGGAGCCTCCTGTGTCAGTCAGATGCTGTTGTCAGCCTTCCAGTGCCTTCAAGACAGCCAGGGAGTGAACAGTAGGTTTGTGGAGGTGGCACCCGGCCCGGCCATCGAAGCTACGTTGGATTTTGATGAGGACCAGAATGAGAATCAGTGGAAGAAACCTCATGGGATTGGATTGGATTGGATGAAGTAGGCCTTATGTCAGATCCAGGAAGCAGTAGGTTTGGAGCTGCCCTAGCACTACACTGTTCTGACGAGACTGTGGCACAGCAGTTACAGCAGAAGGCAGGATGCCCAGCCAAGGTGGTGTGCCTGACAGAAGAGAATGCCTGTGGAGGTGGGCAAGCCCAAATGGGACCCAAGCCATGGTGGGAGCTACTGTGGGGCCTGCGTTGAATGAAGCAGACAGACGTTGGCAGCAAGGGTTATCCCAAGAAGCTTCTGTGCAGCCAGGGTGACAAGTGCCTTTGTGAGCCAATGCTTCTCGGAGTCACTGCTGATAAAGGCGTCTTCACAAGCTCATCTCCTGCTGTCAACCCCATCCATCCTTGTGAACAGCCTTCAGCTTAGGTGTCCACTTACAACAGATGGTGCTAGATCGCACCCAGAAATCTTCAAAATCATAGTGCTTGGTCTGAGTATTCCTTAAGGACCTCAGAGCAGAGGCCCAGGTGGTTTCAAAGCCTGTGTGCTCCCCTGTGCAGCCAAGGTCAAGAAGCAGAGGTGACAGGAACGCACACCTGCAATGCCAGCATTAGGGAGTGCAGGCAAGAGGATCAGGACTGCAGTTATCCTTGGCTAGCATGGGCTACATGAGACCCCACACTAGAGCTCTGTATTCACTGTGAAACGCTACTACCTGCTAAACAGAAGTTTACAGTTTCCAAGTGTGGAGTTGATTGCATTTGCCAATTACAGCAAACTCATTTTCCCTCCCTTTCCTACAAAACAGTGGAGTGGCTTTGTGGTAGAGCCCCTGATGCTAAGTACTCCCAGGATCCCTAGAGCCCCATTCCCAGGTAAGGAATGGAGGTTGTAGACAAAAAGCATGGCCAGCTGGGGTGCTGACAGCCTCTGCTGCTCTCAGGCATTGCCTGGATCCTTGTGTGACGAGTCACACCCCATAGAAGGCAGCACTGGTGATTCTGTGAAACACCCTGGGTGTGTTCTTCCCCTTCTCAGTGGTGCATCCTGACCTTGTGAGACAGAACTGATGTCTTCATTTAATGCAGGGCCCATGGGGACTGGAGACACAGTACCATCCAGCTGTGACAGCTGAGACACCCATGGGGCTGGCCTTAGGGTGGCACTAGACCAACTAGGGGATGGCTGGTGCCCAGCATGGACTTCTGGTTCCATGGGCACAAGTGGGCCCAGCACTCTTATTATGTCCTGACCCAGGGTGACTCCCAAAAAAACTGCACCTACTGAAGGTCATTCAGACTTGGAGGATGCTGTGGCTGTTGAGTCTTAGGAGTAAAACCTACAAGCTCCTGTAGCTCAGTTCACCCAGGGTATCTCACCCCACACCATCCACCTTAGACTGGGTGCTGATGGTCCCTCCCTCTACCAAAGGGCTTCTCAACCCAAAGCATTGAGTCATCCCTAAACATGGGAGTCCTTCCCTAAGTATGCCCCCTTCCTTTGCCCACATAACATCACCACTGATCAGTTTCTCACCCTGGGGACACAGCCAGGCCTTTCATCTTGCCCAGGAAAATGTGGCAACTTCCCCTTTGCTAGTAGATGACGACTTTGACTGAGCCTCAAGTCCTAAGGTTCCCATGGAAGGCTTGTGGGTCCCAAGCACCTACACATACCTGGCAGGAGCAGGTCACAAGCCCATCCCAAAACACAAATCCAGATTTCAAAACCCATTTAATTAGAATAATAAAAAGTTGGGTAAAGCCAGGTGTGGTGGCACATGCCTTTGATTCCAGTACTTGGCAGGCAGATCAAGGCCAGCCTGGTCTACATAGTGAACTCAGGACAGCCAAGGCTGTGTTGATAGATCCTGTCTTCAAAATAAATAAATTGAAGAACCTAGGGGAAGGGAGTCCCAGGTAGGACAGAGTCCTTGGAGTAGCCCCACATCCTTGCTCCGCCATCACCTCAAGGAGTTGGTGACAAGGAAAGTTACTCTAGTGCTGTGTCCTATAGGGACTTCAGGTCCAAGTCTCTGCCTGCAGGGTCATGGTGACTGTCCCCTCCATCCACAAACTGGGCAGATGATGTGGTGGCCTCCTCGGTTCTGCCAGGCCTGCCAGAAAGGAGAATCAGGGTGACCCAACCAATGTGAAAGCCCCTGTAACCTGTGTGGCTGGGCTCAGTGGATGCTCTGAGCCCCTGATGTTTTATGTCAGGCCTTCCAGGTTGAAGGCTCTAGAGCAGTGAGGGCCAGGCTGACGGAGTAGCCTGAAGAACTTGCAGGATTACAATCCAGGAATTTGCTGGGGAAAGCTGCTGGGTCACATGACCTGGCCACTTCTGTGGTTCAAAACTCTGGATTATCAGTTACCTTGTGTGGAGCAGCTTGCAATAACAGTCCCCTCAGTAAAGGCCTGTCATCAGTACTGGGGCTCAAAACACAGTGCGTATATACACCTGCTATCTCTACAAGGCATAGAGGCTGGGCTGTATGTCTGACCTCGGGTTCCCCTACGAGATAGGCTGAGGCCCATAATGAGTAGGAGTTCTGAGAGGTCTTCGGTGCCTTGGCCTCACTGGTCTGCAGCTGAGGGAGGACCTGTGGACATAGTCTGGGGGACAGCCTCAGCCTACTGGGGATGGATGGACCTCTGTGTGGACGTGTCCCACTCAGCAGGGAGAAACTGTGTTGTTGGGGTCATTGTAAAACTGGTCTGCGGAACTGGAGAGATGACTCAGACTTCAAAGGCACTGTCTGTACTTCCAGAGAACCCAGGTTCCATTCCCAGCATCCACATGATAGCTTAACTCCAGTTCCAGGGGGTCTGACCACTGCAGGCACACATATGGTGCACAGATATACATGCAAGCAAAACACCACCCATACACCTTAGTAATGCCCAAAAGTGGCTCTCCGTCCCCAAGGGTGCCTTGAGTACACAAACCCCTACATCTCAGCAGCCCCCTTCCCAGCTCTAACTGAGGTAGTGGGGACACTGAAGGCAGAGGGTGAGGCAAGCCAGGAGCTGACTCCTGGAGCCCCAGAGTACCTCACCACTACAATGGGGCAGTGCCACTTCACACCACCCTCTTTCCCCTCCCACCAGCCTCTCCATCACCTGCTCTGCTCCCCCTCGTAAACAGAGTGAAGCTTGTTGATCAGGAAGATCTTGTCCTCTCCCTCCTGGAAAGGCCAGAGCACAGCATGAGACGACAGAGTTGTTCATCCCTCCACCCTAGAGTTGGCCTGTTCTGGACATCTGTGGAGCTCATGTAGGAAGTTCAACATCTCACAGAACAGAGTTAAGAGGTCAAAGGGGCCCAGGCATGGTGGCCCACACCTTCTATCTCAGTGCAGGAGGCAGAGGCAGGCAGATCTCTGTGAGGGAGGCCTGAACTTTGTAGCAAAATCCATGTTAGGCAGGGGCTACGTAGTAAAGCCATGCCTCAAAAATCAAAAAGGTCAAAGAGAAAAGGATATTTGTGATCCAAGCCTAGCAATGAAGGTAAAGAGAAGAAAGCCGTGATCTAGACTTACACAAGCTCCGCCTCTGCCCTAGACAGGTTGTCTTCCTACCCCACCCCCTTTCTTTTTCCCTTGAGAAAGGGTCTCATGAAGCCCAGGCTGGTCTCAAATTCAGGTAACTGGGGATGACCTTAAACCAGCTCGGTTGCTGCGATTTCAGGCGTGCACCACACCTGTCTTATACTGTCTCCTTAATAACATTTTTAGTCCTGATCCCACTGACAGCCCATGTGCATACACACAGACACCTAGGTCGTGAGAAGCGTGTGAGCCCAGTATTTCCCACACCTAAAGCAGACAGCAAGCTACCTGCCAACTCCATCCCCAGGCCTGACCACTTCCTGCCTGCTCTCTGCTTAACCCAGTCAAGAGAAGTGGCTCCCACTAGTCTCAGTACTCAAGCACCTAAGACAGGAGGATCACTTTGAGATTAAAGTAAGACCCTATCTCAAAAACAAAAACCAGGGCGGTGGAGATGAATCTGCAGAAAAGTTCCTCGCTGCAGCTAGGAGCCCGGCAGAAGTCACCCTGAAAAGGTGGCTTACGACAGCAGAACCCACAAAGAAGTGGGAGGACCAACTCCACACAAATTGACTAAAAATCTAAAAATTTAGTCAGAATGCATGCCTTTAATTCCAGCACTCAGGAGGCAGAGGCAGGCAGATCTCTTGAGTTTGAGGCCAGCCTGGTCTACAAAGCAAGTTCTAGGACAGTCAGGGCTACACAGAGAAACCCTATCAAAAAAAAAAAAAAAAAAAAAGGATTGGAAGTGTAGCTCAGCTGGTGGAGTGCTTGCCTAGCACACAGAGGGTCCTGGGTGCAATTCCTGGTACCACATCAACAATAGAGACCAGAAATCCAATGTCATTCTCAGTATACAGGACAACCTGGGCTACAGAGAGAAATCCTATCTCTAAAAGCAATAGAACAAGAACAGGTGTGCCAAGGGGAACCCCAGAAGCTAGGTGGACAGGTGGCCAGACCCAGAAACCACACAGGCAGGACTTACATTCCGGATCTGTTCCTTGAGCAGGCAAATGACCTTCCTTTGCCCTTTCACCACCTGGATGTTGAGGTAGATGACAGCCCTGAGGAAATGGGGGCTCAGGCTCAAGGCAAGGCCAGAGCAGCTTAGGGCACCACCTCAGGCCAGCCCCCACTGCGAACTCACAGCAGCAGGGCCGACACCAGGAAAAGGAAGAAGGTATTCTCCACCAGGAAGTGGTGCAGCCAGGGCAGCCAGGAGCCCCTGGAGCCAGCACGCTCCAGACGACGCACCCAGACCGTGCCTGCCTCATACATGGTATTCAGAGTTCGGAAGGGGCCACAAGTGCTTGAGGGCTTCACCCTGGAGAAGGGAGGAACAAGAGACCCTGAGGCAGCAGTCCCACTCTCAGGACAACATGTGTCCTGTGTCACCCCAAAGCCAAAGAACTAGGCCCCTACTCACTGCCAAACAGCATAGCAGAGAAAAACAGCTGCGCCCAGGAACGATGGGAAGCAGAGCAGGGTGAGGAAGACGGTGCTCATGTGTGATGCCAGCCAGGGCCTGCGAGGTGCCTGGCAGTTGGCCATCAGGCTTGCCTAGGGACAAAGACTGATTTTCACTCAGCCAAGGTCACCATGCCCTGCCCCCAAGCACCTTTCCCCCCTCCTCTTCTAAGAGTATGACTAATATGGCTTGTCAGCCTGACTGGATCTAGCGTCACCAGGAAGACAAGCGTCCGGGCACCCCTGTGAGCAGTGTAAGTTCCTAATCAGGACAGGCAGAGACTGCACTCCAGATCTATGCTGCCCAGATCAGCCTGGTGAGTACACCAGCCCCAGTGTGGTCAGTGTGGAGGGCCAGAAGTAGGGCAGAGCCAGTGGGGACCAAGGTCCTGGTTGTCAGTCCCCAAGCACACCAACTGAGGAGAAGGACTCAGAGTCACTCCCAAAGGACTGGGGAACCAGCAGATGTCTCCAGCCTGCCTAAGATAGAACTGACAGGGAGGGGCAGCCCAGCATAGCAGCAGGGCCAAGTTAGTCTTTCCTTTTTTTTTTTTTTTAAGCCTCAGCTGTTCTGGAACTTGCTTTGTAGACCAGGCTGGCCATCAACTAAGAGACTGCCTGCCTCTGCCTCCCAACTGCTGGGAATTCTGGGATTACAAGTGCCCGCCACAACTCTTGGCTCACATTACCTTTTTGACATAGAAAAGGAACAGCAGCCGGAGTATCTGCACTGCGGGCAGGAGCGGTGAGAACAGGACACCCAGCCTAGGGACGGTGGCAGCAGGCAGGGCTGGTAAGTGTCTTCCCACTTGGTTCTGAGCCACCCACCCAGAACCAAAAGGCTGCTACTGTGGCCCAGGGAAGGAAGGCAGTGGCTGACAGCCAGCGGGATGCAGATGAGAAACTCTCACCAGGTCAGCGTCTGCCCGTAAATCAGGTCCAGAACATTCCTAGCAATATCAAACTCGGGCTTCTGCCTCCTCTTGAGCTTCTTCTCGGAGATGAGCCTGGACAGAGGAGTCCCTGAGAGATGGGCAGGGAGACCCTTATCCCCAAGGCACCAGGCAGGGGCCACCTGCACCAGTGCAAGCTAGCACCCGGCAAATGTCAAGAGAGACAGGGCCATCTGGGCCCAGAGGCTGTCGCCACCACTCAAGCTCCCCCGAGCCCCTTCTCTAAGAGACACCAGTCTCAACAGCATCGAGTGTTGTAGTGCTTTAAAACAAAACAAACTGGAATGGACAAGGCGGTACATGCCTGAAATAATTCTCAGGAAGCTGAGGCAGGGGGATTTCTGAGTTTGAGGCCAGCTTGGTCTGTGTAGGGAACTCCAGGCCAGCTGGGACTACTTAGAGACCTTATCTCAAAACAAACAAACAAGAACTTGTGGGTCAGGCAGCTCAGCTGCTCAGAAAGGTGAGGTAGAAGGAAGTTCAAGCCAGCAGGGGCAACTCATCAAGATTTACTTCTAATGAAAAGGGTGGGGGGCTGGTAAAATAGCTAGGCAGGTAGGTAAACATGCTTACTGCCAAACCCAATGCCCTGAGCTCAATCCCCAAGACCCACATGGTTAGGAGAGAACTGACCTCCACATTCCCCAGCACACGTGCACATATATGCACAAAAACACAATAAATAAATGTATAAGAAAAGTTTGAGCCGGGTGGTGATGCTGCACACCTTTAATCCCAGCACTCGGGAGGCAGAGGCAGGTGGATCTCTGTGGGTTCGACACCAGCCTGGTCTACAAGAGCTAGTTCCAGGGCAGGCTCCAAAGCCACAGAGAAACCCTGTCTCGAAAAACAACAAAAAAGTTTGTAAAAGGGTACCTTGCTTTTCAACTACCATTAAAGCCATGTATTCTCAAAGAAAACACAAAAGGACTCAAAGAGCACTCAAAAAGCCAGACCCCACGACATGACACTCTAACAACGCCCCCTCCCCTCTCTCTTCCTGTCTCTGAGCAAACTGAAACCATTTTCCTTTCCGATCTGAAACTACCCGACATCCTGCCGCCCACCACCCTCATGGGCTGACAGACCGAGGGCAGGGTGGGAGGGCTAGGTGGAGCCTCCTCACCTCCACACCAACTCCCCGAAAAGGGAGTCCAAGAGCGTGAAGATGAAATCCACGACCAGGAAGCGGTACAGCTCCTGGCCCACAAAGTCCTCCCAGCATCCGTCCTGCAGTGTAGCCACCCTGCGGCCCAGCCAGTGATAGCAGAGCACGCCCAGGACAGCCGTCTTCAGGATGAGACTCCTGGACAGGGAGAGGTTGTGAAGGCTCAGGGGACGCTCCAAGAAGCCCTACCCAACAGCTCATGCTCCCGGCCACATACCTGCAGATGGCCATATATACCTCCAACACGGGGGAGTCATGCCGCTCCAGAGTGGCCAGGCCACAGAACAGGTAGGAGGCACCCAGATTAAGGACACTGACCACCAGTGGCAGGGCCAGCAGCTCCACCCCCTGGCCGCCATCAGTGGGTCTCTATGAGGACAGAGAAGAGGACTCAGTCAGAAAAGGCACATGGGGACATGTTCACTGTTGTCCTGTGGGAGCAGGCACTACAGGAAGGGTCTGGCTAGAAGATGGGAGCAACATGCACGTAGCACCTCCCTCCAAGACATGCAGCTTACCCCAGGCTTTTCAGTTCCAAAGACACAGGAACCAAGGAGGAGCATGAGAACCATGGGCCAAGCGGGGTTGTGGGAGTCTCAGCCCCGGGATGGTCTGTCCCTTGCCTTACCTGCATCATGACCTCTGAGAAGGTGAGGACAGCCGCTGCACAGCCCACCGTGGTGCCCAGACACAGCAGCCCTCCCAGAGCTAGCATGACAGCCTGCCACAGCTGCCCGCATGCACTCCGGGGGTGCTTCTGCAGTTGCCACTCAGCCAGCAGCTCCTGTAGATGCCAGGTAGTATGTCCCTGTCACTGGATCCCAACATACAAGGCAGGCTGCCCAAGTCCCTCCGTTCCCTAGAGAGGCCCAGGCCACCCTTGCCTCTGCTGAGACTCAGTGAAAGCAGGATGGCTGCCACCTTGGGGCCCTTTCTCATCCCTTCGCCACAGCCTAGTCTCCAGATATCCTCAGTGCCTAGCCTGTGGCCTTCGCCCCATTACAACCAGAGCCCCCAGGATGAGGACACCTGTCCCCAGTAGGAACTCCCATGAATCACAGCAGCACGAAACCCAGAAAGGTAGAGCATTCCCTTGAAGCCCAGTTGGCCCTGGGACCCTGAACCTTGCACAAAGGATCTGACCTTAATGCTGCAGTTTCCCCTATAGTCCTAAGCCCCTGGCTACCGCAGTCATTAAATGACTATAGAGGAGCCGTTCTTAGCTGCAGCTGATGGCTTCAGGATAGGAGGACAGAATGTCACACAGAGAGGGACCCCTGTCCTCCTGGCCCAAGCCTAAGCACACTGGAGCAGTTTCTGTAACTCCAGCCCCTTCGTGTCCCTGGAGCTTGAGGGTGCAGGAGCATCAGACCTGCCTAGACACTGTGGGGAAGACCACCAGCTCGCAGACACCACTCCAGTATCCAGAGAGGATCCAGGCCAAGTCTGCAGGGCCATGTGTGGGTAGGTAGCTGCTTACCTTCAGCTGGGTGCAGATGCTGTCCTGCTGGACACGGGAGGCCCGCTTCTGAGTCACCTTGTAGTCCCAGGAGCAGAAGACCGTAATAGCATGGATGCCTTTGGTGCTGCCAACCCGGTAGCTTTCCCCGAAGGAGTGGGACATGCTAGCAAGCAGCAGAGACAGGCAGGAAGTGAACAGGAGGGACGGGTAGACGGGTGGATGAGTAGGTAGGTGGATGGGTGGGTGGATGGATGGGTGGGTATGTGGATAGACTGGTAAGTGGGTTGGCCGGCAGGTAGGTGGGCAAATGGGTGGATAGACTGATGGATGGACTGACAGAAGAAAGCACTAATAAATGGGGGATCAGGATGGTTAGATGGGTAAGTGGGTGGACAGATGGTCAGGCAGGTTGATGGGTATATAGATGAATGAATGGTGAATGGGAAGATGAATAGGTATATGGGAGGAAAGACTAATCAAGAGAGATGGCTAGATGGTGGGGAGAGAGACAGGTGGGTGGGCAGACAAGGAACTAGATATAGATGGAGGACCAATGGGTGGAAGGATGGGACTCAGAGTGAGGTCCACATGGTTGAGGTCAGTACCTGTATACCAGAGTGATACAGGTAATGAAGAAGGCAGCCCCCATCGTGAAGAGGTAGGCCAGCGGCATGTTATAGGGCAAGCTGCCCAACCTGGGGCTGCACCGGCCACTGTCCCGTGAGGAGTCACATGACTGGCTCAGCGTGCTGTTACTGTAGTAGCCGTAGTACATGACGGTGTGTATGAAACAGCCCTGTCAGGACGTCAAGTAGAGTCAGGGATCCTCCCTTCCCACCAAGCCCAGTGGTTCTCAACCTCCCTGATGCTGTGACCGTTTAATTCACTTCATGTTGTGGTGACCCCCAGCCATAAAGTTAATGTGTTGCTACATCACAACTCTAATTTTGCTACGATTATGAATCGTAATGTAAATATCTGGTAATCAGGACACATGATATGCAATCCCCAAAGGGGTTGTTGTGACCCACAGGTTGAGAACCGATGCACTGCCTTAGCCTTTCCTGAGGCCTCCAGAAGGAGGGGAAGCCACTCATAGGGACATCCAGGAACAGGCAGGAGCCCACCAGGGACACTGGGACAGGACGGGCACAGGAGGGCACCACGGGAGCTGAAGACCTCACCCTGCCTGTGAGGAGTTCTAGACCAGAGCAGGTAGGGACCGGGTCTGTTGGGTTGGGCGGGAAGGCAGCCTGCACACCCACGAGGAAGCCCAGCAAAGGCAGCAGCATTAGCGCATTGAAGGTCAATAAGGTCTTGAGGAAGACGAAGTAGGAGAGGACGCTGGAGCCAAACTGGCCGCCGATCTGCTTCAGAGCGTAGCGCCATGGTCTGGCAGCATACAGTCCTGAGACCAGCACCAGCCCCAGGCTGTGTAGAGCCTGGAGGAACAGCTGCAGGTCAGTTCTGAGGGCCAGTCCACCAGGAAAGATCATGCCCAGCCCCAGGAAAAAAGTAGAGTTAAAAGTCCCTTGGTAGGACAGCAACAGGAAAGGGTGTCCCCCACCCCAGTCAGCCACACCCACAGCAGACCTCACAGTTCAGAGCTCGTACCAGAATGCAGCTGTAGCCGAGCCTGCTGCAGCAGGAGAAGGCCCCACCTCGGTCCTGCTGGTCCCTCTGCTTTCCCTTTGGGCTCCAGCTTTTCTCTCTGGGGACAGAGACAATGCCTAGACCATAAATGCCTAGATTACAGAGGACTGTGGCTGCCTCCAGGCTCAGGGAGGCCCGCCAGGGCCATGGGGCACTCACCGAAGCCAGCGCTTCTCACCCAGGCTCAGAGGCATGTTCCGGACCATGTGGTCCCGCTGGGCCACCGACAGACCCTGAAGCTCCTTCACTAGCAGGCTCCGCTTCTCTGCCAAGAGGAAGAAGGTCCCTCAGTGCCCAGCATCCTTCCTGCTGACAGCCAGCAGCCCAGCACAAGCCTCCAAGACCCTCGCCCCTCGTTCTCCTACCCCTCGGACCCAGGAGCCCCTTCTCTCATCCCCACCAGATCCTGGCATCCCTGAGGCCAGTGCTTCCCAGCTGTGATCAGTCCTCAGAGAATGGAGGACAGGGTCTGACCTGATCAAGGTACCCTGGGACTCCTCATAAAGGGTGGAGGGAGGGAGGGACGGAGAGATGGCTCAGAGGTTAAGAGCACCGGCTGCTCTTCTAGAGGTCCTGAGTTCAATTCCCAGCAACCACATGGTATCTCACAACCATCTATAATGAGATCTGGTGCCCTTTCTGACCTGCATGCAAACATGCAGACAGAACACTACATACATAATAAATAAATAGATAAATAAATTTTTTTTTAAAATCTCAGGTGTTCTCCCTCATATTAGGAGTCATAAGCCTGTTATAACAGATGAGCAAAGCCACAAGGGAATGGGGATAGGTTAGCACTGCCTCCTCTCATGGCCGCTGTGATGTCAGTGTTAAGTGTCAACTTGATAGAATCTAGAATCACCTGAAGTGGAGCCCTGGCCCTGGGCACGCCTGTGAAGGGTTATGCTGTTATTTTAATCAATGTGGGAAACCACATTGTAACGGTGACAAGAATGTTCCCTGGATAGGGGACCCTGGACAATATAAAATGTGGAAATGAACTGAGCCCAGCAGGCATTCATTCTTGACTGTGGATGCCGGGACCAGCTGCTTCCAGCTCCTGTCACCTTGACGACCCCGCCACCCTGGGCCACAGTGCGAACTGTGAGCTGAGAAAACCCTGGCTCCATTATGCTGCTTCTGGCACAGCAATTTATCACAACAGGAAAAGAAACCTGTTGCCACACTTCCGGCCCCACAAAACAGGCAGCCGCCAGCCGTGGGGGGAAGTTCCCTACCTCTGAATCAACACATAAATGACCTTCAGAGACAGGAGGATCTGAGTTCAAGGACGTTGACCCTGTCTTCAGTCAGCAAGGGCTGGAGACACAGCATGCCGACCCTGGAGGAGACCTCTGCAGCTCTTGTCTGATACCCAAGGAGCCTCACAGCCAGGCAGCCCTCGTTCACTTACCATCCTCCTCCAAGATGGTGTGGTCCAGCTCCAGGTCATACAGGCGAAGGCTGGGCCGGGCAGAGCGCACCATGTTCCCCAGCAGGGGCCGACTACTCCTGCGCCGCAGCCTTACAGTGCGGTTGTAGTACTGGGAGATGATGGCCCCGCGGCTGCGACCTTGGAAAACAGGTGGCAGGCAGGGTAGCAGATGGCAGAGGCAGGACCAGCCTCACATCCCTCTGGACAGTTCTTAGCACCAAGCCTCCCTGTCCTTTAGCCTTTCCCAGAGCTGAGGAAAATCCCTTTACCAGGGATTTTACCCAAGAGCCTTTGTTTGTTCCTTTGTTTGTTCGTTTTTGAGATAGTTTCTCTGTGTAACCTGGCTGTCCTGGAACTCTGTAGACCAGGCTGGCCTCAAACTCAGAGATCCACCTCCTCTGCCTCCTGAGTGCTGGGATTAAAGGTGTGCGCCATCGTCTGACCCCAAGAGCCTATTTTTACTCCATGACAAATGCCGTTATGTTTAGAATCCAGCAGGGCTGAGTGTGGCACAGGGCTGTGCTGAGCTCCAGGCCCCAGCCACAGGGAGGCTAGGAGCCCAGAGGAACTAGGTTCAGACACCTAGTCTGGGGTCAAAAGTCAGAACAAGGGCAGAGGGTCCCACTCACCAATGGTGCGACTAGGCATGCTGGCCAAGATGCGGAGAGTGGCCGTGCTGTGGGTGGGGGCACCTTCAGGCCTCGGGAGGGTCTGGTAACCTCTGTCTAGGAAGAATGGAGATACTGCAGCTGCCTCACCCAGGCCTGTAACATGTAGGGCAGATATTCCCTGGTCCTGCCCACACCAGGTCCCAATGCAGGGCTGAGCTCACCTGGAGCCAGGGGCAGCAGCTCCAGCCCCTCCTCGGCCACCCGAAGACTCTGCTCTTGTATGAGCCGGTGGAAGGAGTCATGCACTTCGCTCTCTTCATAGGGGCTGGGCTCCAGGCTGCCAGGGAGGGGGGGAGTGTGGGAACCCATGCTCCTGTCCTCCCCCACTCCCAGAAGACTTCACATCAGACAGGGTGAATCATCCCAGACCACCAGCACCAGGGTACTTACTCTTCGTCCCCGGTGGTCTCTGGGACATTGAGGACTAAAGCCAGTGGCTGAGCCATGGCTGTGGTACACCCTCAGCCCAGCTGCAGACCTACGGGAGCTCAGAGACTAGACGCAGCCTATGGAAGCCCAAACAGGCCATCTGTTGAGACAAAACCAGCTTTCAGTGCCTGGCACCTATTCCCTGGGGGCCCATACACACACACACACACACACACACACACACACACTACAGGAATCTCCACCCTGCCCCCCCATCGACAGCTAAACACTTGGTTAAACAAATGGCCCCAAATGACATTCTCACCAGTAACCGGCTATGGGGAAGGAAAGCAAACAGGAAGGAAGGGTGAGGCGCAGTTCCCCCATTGGCTTCCTAGATGTCACTAGTCCCGGGGAAATGGGAGAGGTCTGTGAACACTACCCCTTTAGGTCTGTTCTCAGGCGTGGCCCTAGGGCTTCAACTCTCTCAGAGAAGAGGCTGGGAAGTTTAGAGGACTTCCCTGTGCCCGCCCTATGACCCCAAAGTGCTCTTTCGAGCAGGAAGCGCTGCCTGGCAGCCGTAAAGTCCTGCCCCTAGCACCGCCCACTCCACACACAGGACTCTTTGAAGCCCACCCCCAACGCTCGGGTCTGGATGCTCAGAGGTTCTCGTGTCCACGGGAGACTGCCTCCCTACATTCCCAACGCAGCTTAAAGCTGGAGGAGGAAGCTGAGCCTACACAAGCTCCCTTTGTCCGGCTCTGCCACCGGGCACAATAGCAACCAGAGCATTGTAAGGGGTTCATTGTCCTCCTGGCCTAAGGCCCTAAGGGAGAGCGCGGCGGAAAGAGCAACCAATCCCCTGACTCCCGCAGAATCTCCCCCACCAGAATGCAGGCTCAGTCCTGTTGGCAAACCCTCTCCGTCTTCACTTGGGGAACTCGCAGTTTTCGGGGAGCTCCCCCGACGGCCGAGAGTCCCCACGAAACCCCGATTCGCGCCAGGCACGCCCCTGCCTGCGCTGCTTCAGCCTGGAGCCAGTCAAGGGATGGCACCGCCCGAATGGAAAGCAGCCAGGCAAGGTGGTGCCCGCTTAGTTTCCGGGTCCCCTCCCTGGTCACAACACTTCTCAGACTCAAGCCACCCCAGGCCACCCCACACCTCTTCTCCACAAGATGCTGGAAGTGCTCTGAGGCTCCAGGCCCGGAGTCCGGATCTGCTCCGGCCTCAGGTCTTCAGTCCCGCCCGGGGCCGGCCAGGTGCGCGCAGTTCCGGGACGCAGTTCCATCCTGCGCCCTGAGCCAGACCGGGAGAGGCCGGCAGCCGCAGCCCTCAGGAACCCGTAGCCAAAATGTCACACACACACACCCCGGCGGGAGCAGCCGCCTCCACAGCCGAGCTGCGACCCTGCACCGGGGTCCAGGCGTCCAGCTGGACGGGAGGAGCCCCGCTCCTCCAAGAGGCTCACCTGTGCGCCTACCCGCCGGGGCAACCGCGCAGTCTCGGCTCGACCAGCAGACGTCATTAACAGACAGTAATTAAGGTCCAGGGGGCAACCTTTGATGGTTCCCAGGCTGGCAGCTGGAGGTGGCCCCACCACCCGCCCACGTGGCAGCGGGCCCAGAAGGTCACATGACCTGCTCCCGCCCGCTGGTAGGTCCCGCCCATCCAAAACAGTGCCCTGTGCCCGCCAGCTTCGGACTCCACCCTCAAGTCTGAGCAAAGTGGGCGCGGCCGAGTATTTGGATAGATAAGATCCCTAGGTGGAGCCCCTAATTTTTGTAGGACTCGGTTTCTCCAAGTTTCTAAACGGGTCGGTATTTCCAAGCCCACTCACGTCCCAAGGTTACTTACCAGTCCTCAGCCACTCCACGAGGGATTGGGTAATCCCCTCCTCCCAGCCTCGGTTCACTGCTCCCTATCTCCCGCTGAGGAAAGGGGTTACCGCCTCCTCTACCCTGGGCGTGGTGTCTATTTCTGAAGCTAGAGTTCAAGCCGCTTCCGGTACCCACCGTCCCAAATGCTGCGCCGATTGCCTGGTTTTCTGTGACGGAGACATAGACCATGCTGTTTCACAGACGAGGAAATTGAAGCTGAGAAAGTTCCACCAGCTTCTCGGTGTCACCAGCTGGAGCAGGGCACTTGGCCACCAGAATGCTCCATAGAGCCCCTTCCCCCGTGTGACAGGCAGGGTGATTATGAGAAGGAAATAGAACGGAGAACGAGCCCCTGCCCCCACAAAAGCGTGTGGGATACAGTGATGTGGTGACTCCTGAGATAACAGGGTCGGGTTGAGCTGGGGAGTGGAAGGAGCAGTGACAATTCTCAGCAACTGTCCCTGTGTGGCTGGGTGGGGCATCCTGGCCTGCAGACTCAACCGTCCTCAGCTCCCTCTTGCACTGAACACTGAATTTTGCATGGCTTCTGGCCCTGCTTGAAAGCCATTTCCTGGGGAGCCTTCCTGCATGAACTTTGTGGAATAACAGAGCCGCTGCTCAGGGCAGGGAGACTCAGGGAATCCAGAGCTGAGATGAGAAGGCCTTAAAGGAGGTGGACAGGGAGAAAAGGCTAGAGCTCTCAGAATTGGGAACTGGCCAAGACTCCTCAAGGTCTAGTCGGTGAAGGCTCCAAGGCGCTTCCTGAACACTTAGGCTGGGCTTGGCGCCAGGGCATACCATAAAGGGAGGGCAGTGCCGGCTGTGAGAGCGGCAAGTTCAGAAATAACACGCCAGCCAGGAGTAAGAGTGCAGGTCTTTAACCCCAGCCTTGGGCAAGTACCTCTGTGAGTTCAAGGCCAGCCTGGTCTACACGGTGAGTTTCAGGACAATCATAGCAACATAGTGAGACCCTGCCTTGGAATAACAAAAAAGAAAAGAAATAACGCCAGGTTATAGAGAGCCAGCAGCTGGGTGTTCTGGGGCCCTCCAAGTGTCACTATCACGCTCTCTGGGGTGACTGCAGAGGGCAGATAACCGGGTCCTCTGCGACTGGGCGGGAAGGGGAGGGGAAGAAAACAGGTAGGTAGGCCTGGTGCCCACCACGCGCCTCTCACCTGTGCCCTCCCGCTCCGGTGCAGGAAGTGCACACAGAGGCGGAGGAAACTGCGGGGAAGGCGGGAGTGGGTGGAGGGGAGGAGACGCTGCCTCCACCCCACTCCCTCACGGCCCTGTCTGGTTCAGAGCTGGTCACACGAGGGAGCTTCTTGGGGGGCTTGGTCCCTTGCCCCTTCGTGAGCTGCCTGATGTGTGGAGAAAAGGAAGGTGAGAGGGGAAAGAATTGAGGTCTAGGGGCTGGACCAAGTCTATGGCTTCCTCTGGGGTGATTTGGGGGTTCCTCCTTTTCTCGCCTTGGGGATGTAGCCACGCCTCCTGTTCTGGGTCCCTTAAGAAGACCAGAGTAGACTCAGGCTGCACGAGAAAGAACACACAGAAGGGCCCTAGCACATTCAAAGCTGGGGTCTTGCAGGAAAGGGGATTCTAGGAGCTGTCGGGGTTCAGGACAGGGGTGACTTCCTATCTGTCAGTCTGCACATGAAAAAGAGTAGGGATTGTGTTTTTCCAAAGCTTAAGGTTTGTGACAGTCAGCCTTCGCTTTGCCGGCGGCCGCTTCTCTCTCTCTCTCTCTCTCTCTCTCTCTCTCTCTCTCTCTCTCTCTCTCTCTCTCTCTCTCTCTCGTTCTGGAGACCCTTCACCTCATTGGACAGGCTGGGAGACCTAGGCCTTGGTCGGAGGTGGAGCGAGCTTCTTTTCACTTGGGCCAAGACGAAGCTCACCACCGGGCGCCCCTCGATCCTCCTACGAGCAAGGATCGTGCTTGTCTGTCCCGTGCGCCCGCTGGGATGTTCCGCCAGTGGTCGATGCAGTCAGGACCGGCCCCCCGACGGCCTGGATCCCTTGCGGCAGCCGAGGAGCTATGGGAGGAAGAAGTGGAACGGCTGTGCGCCTCCCGGGCGCCGGTACGGATGCTGCCCTACGCCATGGCCGACAGGCGCTTCATCCGGTAGATACTGGCTGAGCCGCAGTGGGGGTGGGGGCAGCCCCCGAGGATGTACCTGTCAGATGGATGACTCAAGAGCGCCCCCATCACCACGCTCCCCTAGGGAACTGCGGGAGCCCGAGGGGGTGAAGACGTCCTGCCGGCAGCGGTGGAGTCGCAGAGGGCAGGTGGCCCGACAGCACCTCAGGGATGCTGCGCAGAAGCTGGCCCATGGTTTCGGGCTTTGGGAGGGAGCACTTTACGAGATTGGGGGTAGGATCCCATACTGACCCTCACGTCCCACCTCCCTAGTCAGCCCCTCCATCCTTGTACGTCCCTTCAAATTCCTCCCGTGCACACCTTGATGGGTGTTAGCTCTCAGAGGGTTATTGAAGATACTGCATGTGAAGCCCCAGCATTGCCATGGACTGGTCCCGACTCAGCCCTGGGAGTCTCCACGTGGGAGCCTGTCCCTCCCGACTTTACTCCCTTAGGCCTCTTCGGGACTGGGATCCAGTCGTACTTCACTTTCCTTCGCTTCCTGCTGCTGCTCAACCTGCTGACCCTGCTGATGACCACCAGTTTCGTCCTGCTGCCCCTGGTCTGGCTGCGCCACCCTGAGCCAGGCCCTGCCTTGAAACTGAGTGAGTGTTAGAATTGCCCTGACCCCTGTGCCCCTCAGCCTGGGCATGCTGCGTGGGCTAGCCTTGGATTCTTCTGCACGTACAGCCTCAGTGTTAGGCAGATGCAGTGGAGTTGGAAGGTCGAGTGTCACGTGTGTCTTGGGGACCGTGTTCTGTTGGTCCCCTCTTCCTACTCAGCAGGCCTTCAGTGCTCCGGCAGCCACCCGTCCCAGAGCGGCATTCCGAAGTTCCACAACCCACTTTGGAATATTTTAACGGGCAAGGTCAGTGGGGTCTCTACTGTCTATGTGACTGTGCTCCAGAGCATCTGGGAGACTCTAGTCAGAAAAGACCCCGATCCTCAGGAGACATTTTGGCTTTTAAGGGAGAGTCTTACAGAGACAGGCCAGGCCAGATATAGGGACATAGTGACCCGGGCCCATGAGCCATGGAACGTAGTTTGGAGCAAAAGACAAATGGGGAAGGTGTCCAGATCTCTAAGATGAACACACACACACACACACACACACACACACACACACACACACACACACCAATTCCTGGAGGCCACTGAAGTCCTGGGCCCAAATCTGTATGACCTGGGCAAGTCACCTAGCTTCTTTTAGTGCCTGCAAAGCAAGGATACTTTAGGCCAGACACAGTGGTAAATACCTGCAAACACAACACTTGGGAGGCTGAGGCAGGAGGACACACGCTCAAGGCCAGCCTGGGCTACTTAAGGGAAATCTCATCCTTCCTTGTAGGACAAGCACTCAGAACAGGGCCCAACAGTCCACCTGCGTTCACACACCCTCACTGTGTCCCCCAGGCCTTCAACAACACCTATCTCTTCTATGGTGCCTACCGTGCAGAGCCAGAGCACAGCTCCGCGTACAGCATCCGCCTGGCCTACCTCCTCACCCCAATGGCTTGCCTGCTCCTCTGCTTCTGTGGGACACTGCAGCGGTGAGGAAAGATCCCACGTCACCTACAGGCCTCCGTCCTTGGCCATCCCTTCCGGGGCAAGGAGACCCTCAGCTGGCAGATAGATCCCTGAGCAACGAGGCTCACCTGGCCCCCAGCCTGCATCCTGTACCATGATGCGGGTGCTGAGCAACAGGGGTCCCTGCACTGGCTTTCTGAGGCCAGAATCCCAGCCAAGTCAAGCCAAGGGTGAAGCATGGAGGAACTCCCACAGCAATCCTTCTTCCGTCCCCCAGGATGGTACAGGGACTGCCACAGCAGACACTCCTGGGCCAGGGCTACAGGGCACCCCTCAGCGCCAAAGTCTTCTCATCCTGGGACTTCTGCATCCGGGTGTGGGAAGCTGCCACCATCAAGAAACATGAAATCAGCAATGAACTGAAGGTGTGTGGGAGGCAGAGTGTGTGTGTGTGTGTCTGTGTACATGTGCACTTGTCTGTGTGTGTGTGTCTGTGTGTGTATGCGTGCGTGTGTCTCTGTGTGTGTGCGTGTGTCTGTGTGTACATGTGTGTCTGTGTGTGTATGCATGTGAGTAGCTCTGTGTGTGTGTGTCTGTGTGTATGTGTGTGTGCATGTGTCTCTCTCTCTCTGTGTATATGCATGTGTATGTGTCTGTGTGCGTGGCGCGTGTCTATGTGTGTCTGTGTGTGTGTATGTATCTGTGTCTGTGTGTATATGTGTGTGTGTGTCTGTGTGTATATATGCATGTGTATGTGTCTTTGTGCGTGGTGCGTGTCTGTGTGTGTCTGTGTGTGTGTATGTCTGTGTGTGTGTGTCTGTGTCTGTCTGTGTGCATGTGTCTCTCTGTGTGTGTGTGCATGTGTCTGCATGTGTGTCTGTGTCATGATGAAAGGGGCTGAGGGGCTGCACGAGTGTGAACAGGAGTGGCCAGGTGACGGTGTGAACCAGCTGTGTAGGAGAACATGCAAATGTTATAAGAATGTGTGAGCCAGGCCTAGTGGTAAACCTCTTTAATCCTGCACTTGGGAGGTGGGGGCAGGGGAATCACTGTGAGTTCAAGGTCAGGCTAAATTACTTGACAAGCTCCAGGTCAGCCAAGGATACACAGTGAGACCTTCTCAAAAAATATATAAATATGTAAATATATTTAGGTATGATGTATATGCCTGTGACCCTAGCACTCAGGAAGCTGAGGCAGGAGGATTGCCATGAGTTTGTCACTAATCTGAGCTACAGTTGTATAAGTGCCAGGCCAGCCAAGATTGTGAGACAAGACAAGGGGTTGGCAGGATGGCTCTTCAGGTAAATGGCCCTGTTGTGAAGCCTGTTGACTTGTAGTTTCTCTCTGGATCCTACAGATTGTGCTATGACCTCCCTGTGTGCACCATGGCATTCACACACACACACACACACACACAGTGTAAAATACTCCAACCACAAAAGGTAGGTGTGTGTGTGTGTGTGTGTGTGTGTGTGTGTGTGTGTAAAGTGCTTCAGGGCCCCTCCCGCTGCCCTCAGGTGGAGCTGGAAGAGGGCCGCCGCCTGGAGCTGGCTCTACAGCAGACCCGCACCCAGAAGGCCTGCCACCTGCTCGCATACCTGCGTACCAATGTCCTCATTGTGCTCCTAGTGGTTGGAGCCATCAGCGCCATCTTCTGGGCCACCAAGTACTCACAGGACAACAAGGAGGTGTGGGGCAGTATATTCCTTCCTTTTTAGAAAAGATCTGCTTATTATGCTTTTTTAATTAACTTATTTATTTTATGTGCATTGGTATTTGGCCTGTATGTATGAAAAAATATGAGGGTGTTAGATCCCCGACCCCCTGGAACTGGGGTTAAAGACAGTTGTGAGCTGCCGTGTGGGTGCTAGGAATTGAACTCAAGACCTCGGGAAGAGCAGCCAGTGCTCCTAACCTCTGAGCCATCTCTCTAGACCCCATATTTTCCTCTCTTTATGGTTTGCTTGCTTGCTTTTCTGTTTTGAACCGTGAGAGGAGAGAGGTGATCCCTCAGGCCAAGGCCCTGCACGTGAGCTGTGCCTGCAGAACCCTGACCACACCTCATCTCCCGACAGGAATCGCTTTTCCTGGTGCTACAGTACCTGCCCCCTGGAATCATTGCCCTGGTCAACTTCCTGGGTCCCCAACTGTTCACGGTCCTGATCCAGCTGGAGAACTTCTCTCCCAGCACTGAGGTCAACCTCACCCTAATCTGGTGAGTACCTGGGGTTGCAGCGTCATGGTCCGTAGGAGTCCTGAACTGGGAGATTCATATTTACCATTATACCAAAGGGGAGGTAGGCAGCTCTTCTAGAACATCCAACCTCAGGTCCCAAATCTGAGGCTTCTCCTGAAGGGAACAGAGAGCTGTTGGAGGGGTGGGGATGCTGTTTGGCTGGCTGTGAACACATGCAAAGTCTGGCGATTCGAGACACAGCCCTGTGAGCCGGGAGGACTGGACACCTTCCCTCGACGACCATTGCTCACTGCCGAGGTGTCCTGGCCAAGGTTGCTCTCATCCTCCTAGCTCTGCCCCTCAGTCCGGATTCCACAGCAAGTCCCTCTCTGAGCATCCCCATCTGCCCTGCCTGCTTCACCAGTGCCTCTCTCCTCTCTCCTCTCTGGGTCTCGCCTTCTTTCCCCCTCTGCTTCCCTCGTGGTCAATTCTGATTTGCTTTGATTTTTTTTGTTTTGTTTTGTTTTTCAAGACAGGGTTTCTCTGTAGCTTTGGAGCCTGTCTTGGAACTAGCTCTTGTAGATCAGGCTGGTCTCAAACTCACAGAGATCCACCAGCCTCTGCCTCCCGAGTGCTGGGATTAAAGGCGTGCGCTACCACCGCCCGGCCTGATTTGCTTTGAGAAGTACGTGAAAAACAGCTCCAAACTGTGCCAGGCACGGCGGCATAGCCCTAGCACTTGAAAGGCAGAGACGGGGGGATCACAAGCTCAAAGCTAACCTGGGCTACACAGCAAGAAGCTGTCAAAACCGTCAACACCTCAAGGGCTGGCAGGATGGCTCGGTGTGGAAAAGCACATGCCATGCAGCCTGGCAATCTGGGCTTGGATCCCCGAAAAACGTGTACAAAGCCAGATGTGGTGGCACACAACTGTAACCACAGCACTCCTTTGTTGAGATGGGAGAGAGATAGGAGAATTACCTGGAAACTCTTGGGCCAGTAAACCTGGAGTACACAAAATGCAGCCATGGAAAACAGAAGCCAGGTGTGCTGATGCATGCCTTTAATCCCAGCACTCGGGAGGCAGAGGCAGGTGGATTTCTGTAAATTCAAGGCGAGCCTGGTCTGCAGAGAAAGTTCCAGGACAGGCAGAGATACACAGAGAAACCATGTCTCAAAGATCAAAAAAGGAAGGAAGGAAGGAAGGAAGGAAGGAAGGAAGGAAGGAAGGAAGGAAGGAAGGAAGGAAGGAAAGAGAAAAAAGAAAACTTGCCTTGAGATTTTGTCTGTTGTTTTTTGAATCAGGGTCTCACTATGTAGACCAGGCTGGCACACAGAGATCCACCTGACTCTGCCTCCCAGTGTTGGGATTAAAGATCTGTGCCACCACTATACCAGACTTACCTTGTTCTTGTTGTTTAAGAAAGAAAAATAGCCTTTAATCCCAGCACTTGGGAGGCAGAAACAGGCAGATCTCTGTGATTTTGAGACCAGCCTGGCCTACAAGAGCTAGTTTCAGGACAGGCTCCAAAGTTACAGAGAAACCCTGTCTCAAAAAAAAAAAGAAAGAAAGAAAAGAAAAGAAAAGAAAAGGAAAAAGAAAAAGAAAGGTATCACAAAAGGTAAAAGATTAAGAAATAAGCACCCAGCCACCCTTGCTTCTCAGCTCCTGTTGAACTGGAAACCAACCCTTGGTCCCCAGCTATTCTAGGCACACATACATTGTAATTGTCCAAGCTATAGGCATATGATGGCTTCAGGCCATCAGACCGGTGTGGCCCTGACATATGAAGAAGCTACACATGGCATTTGTTACTGAAGCATAAGACGCCGAGCAGTGAGCCCAGGACTTAACGAGTGGGACCGGGAGATAGCGTAGCCATGGAGCGTGTGCTTGGCATGAAAGAGGGGCCAGAGCTCAGTTCCAGCACCCATGTAAAGGCTGGGTGTGGTGGCACGTGCTTGTCACACCCCACATCCACGCCGGTGTTGGGGTGGGCGCAATGGGTAGCTGTGCACTGGCCAGTCTGACTTGAAACACTAAGCTTCAGGTTCAGCGAAAGACCCTGCCTCAAATAAAGTAGAGGCTGGAGACCAGGTCCAAGTCTCCCAGAAGTCTCCAGTCCCATTCCCAGCACAACATCCTGTAACCTTGACTCTGAGGAGTTCCAGTGCCTCTGGCCATTGCTGACAACATATTCACAGGCACACACCCCCACACAGACATAGAACACACAGTTTTAAAAATAAAAAGAGCACTCCGGAGTCAGAGACAGGCAGGTCTCTATGAGTTTGAAGCCAACTGAATTCACAGAACAAGTCCCAGGCCAACCCAGGCTACGTAGGGAGGCCCTGTCTCAAATAAATAAACAGACAAAAATAAAATGTTTAAAATGTAAGAGAGTAAGAGAGAGGGAGACATCTAAAGTCAAGCTCTGGGCTCCACATACATGTGGGTGAGTGTACTCAACACAGAGGGTGGAGGGCAGGTATGGTGGTGCATGCCTTTAATACTAGCCCTCTGCAACTTTGAGGCTACCCTGGACTACATAGTGAGTTCCCCGGGTCAGCCAGGGCTACATACTAAATAAAAAAGAAGAGGAAGGTGTCTTCCGAACCGAGGCTCTGAGGACCCAGGAGGGCGTAGACTTTCTCTTGCAGGACTCGTCCAAATAAACCATACATCTGGCAGCAGGAAGAACTGACTGGGACAGTATTTCCCACACTGACTTAGAGGCAGGATCCATTCCCCGTGAACCACGTAGAGTCAGGCTTGAAGAACTCATTTTGAAAAACGCCGGCGGGAGATGAAGCAGGCTGGAAGGAGGCCAGGTTGAGGCCGCCAGGTCTCAGACACCAGGCACTCTATGACCTGGTTAGAGCTCCGACCCACCTCTGATGCATTCCCGGCTGCCCTCAGGTGCGTGGTGCTGAAGCTGGCCAGCCTGGGGATGTTCTCCTTCTCTCTGGGTCAGACTGTGCTGTGCATAGGCAGAAACAAGACCAGCTGCGAGACCTACGGCTACAATGCCTGCGAATACCAGGTGCCCACCCATCCTTCCCCACAAAGCCCACCTCAAACTCAGGAATCCGGTCCCTTTCAGTCCTTATCCTTGCTTTTGTGAGTAGCTGGAGGCGGAGCTGCCATACCATGGCTTGCGCCCAGGGGGCGCCCTGCACCACACCCCAGAGGTGCATAGCTCTCCTGGCTTTGGGAGTCACCCCCCGCCACCAACCCACCCCCAACCCTGACAAGCGGTGGTTGAGGGAAGAGAGTTGGGAGGAATGTGGGAATAGTGATGGGTCTCTTTCCTCTGCACCCCAGTGCTGGGAGAATTCAGTGGGTGAAGAGTTATATAAATTAATCATCTTCAACTTCCTGCTTACCGTGGCCTTCGCCTTTCTGGTCACCCTGCCTCGGAGGTGAGCTACATGGGGGTGGGGCACCGCAGGGGATAGCTGGAGGCCACTGCCAAGCGTGAGCCAGGTCTGTCCCCATGAGTAAGGGTGCAATGGCCCATAGGGAAGACCCGCGTGGCTCTCATACCCTGCCCGCCCCGGGAGTGGACCCAGATCCTACCCCATCCTGCACTTCCCACCCCAGGCTGTTAGTGGAGCGCTTCTCAGGCTGGTTCTGGACTTGGCTGGACCGGGAGGAGTTCCTGGTGCCCAAGAATGTGCTGGACATCGTGGCTGCGCAGACTGTCACCTGGATGGGCCTCTTCTACTGCCCCCTGCTGCCGCTCCTCAACAGTGTCTTTCTCTTTCTCACCTTCTACATCAAGAAGGTGGGAGCTTGGGACAGGCACCCGAGGGCTGCTGCATCCTGATTCTACCTTCCCTTCCCAGGACCTCAGACTCCATGGTCCACAAAACACCCTGGTAAGTCCTGTTATCTCGCCCACCTCAGTACACCCTCCTGAGGAACTCCAGGGCGTCCCCAAGGCTGTTCCGAGCCTCCAGCTCCACCTTCTTCTTCCAACTGGTGTTGCTCCTGGGCTTGCTCTTGGCTGCGGTCCCTCTGGCCTACGTGATCAGCAGGTGATGGGGGCTGGCGGCTGGGAGGCCGGTCCAGCAGCTCCTACCCCAGACCCTCACACACCTGTCCGTTCCCATCTCCCCAGCACCCACTCCTCCTGGGACTGTGGCCTCTTCACCAACTATTCAGCCCCCTGGCAGGTGGTGCCAGAGCTGGTGACCCTCCAGCTCCCACTTCCTGGCCAGCGTGCCCTCCGGTACCTCAGCTCCCACGCCTTCAGCTTCCCTCTCCTCATTCTGCTCAGGTGACTCCAGACAGCAGGGACCGAGGGGAAAACCCAGTTTGCTTTCCTTCCCCAGGGGTGGTGTACAGCTGGGCATATCCAGATAGTGTCTTGGGATGCAAGAACTAGGGAAACTGGCGCCAACACAGGTGACCTGAGGGCATATTGTAGGCCTTCTGGGCTCCTAGGACGCCAGGAGGACTGTATGGCCCCTGGCGAAGCAGCCTCACCACGCTGGAGCTCTTAGAGCGAGGGAGGGGCTGTGGGAAGAAGGGGAGTCTTCAGTTAACACAGCGTGCACAGAGCTTTGAGAGTGAGAGGGTAGATCCGGTGTGGTGGTGCACATCGGCGATCCCAGCACTCGGGAGGCTGAGGCAGGAGGATGACTGTGAATTTGAGTTCACCCTGCTTCATGGAAAGACCCTGTCTCAAAGATAGAGACTGGGGACGGGAAGGAAGTCAGGCAGCGAAGACTGTGGCCTGGGAGGTGACTGACCTGCACTTCTATCTTCTTTAAGCCTCGTCCTGACCGTGTGCGTTTCCCAGTCCCGGGCGAACGCCAGAGCCATCCAAGGGCTGCGGAAGCAGCTGGTGTGGGTGAGTGACTATGCTTCTGCCAAACCCTTGAGGAGTGTGTACCTTGACTGGCTGCCTACTTCGGTGGAGGCGTGGCCTTGGGTTGAAGCAGAGCCTTAGCTTGTGGGCGTGGTCTGGGGCGGGGTTGGGACTGTAGGAGGCGGGGCCGTGGTGCTGCCTGGTTCTAAATTAGGGGCCGGGCTTCGAGATGGCCTCCGGCTGCATTGACAACCTCCTCAGACTGCGTTGTGGGCGTGGCTTCTGGCTACGGTTTGCTTCAAGCTAACAGCTGGTTCCTTAATTTTTCCCTGCAGCAGGTCCAGGAGAAGTGGCACCTGGTGGACGACTTGTCGCGGCTGCTGCCCGAGCTGAGCCCGGAGCCCGAGTCCCCTCGCTCTCGAGCTTCGCGTCCGCGATCCTTCTGCCCCGGATTCCCGTGCCCAGGTTCACCCGGCCCCAGGACACCCCGGCTGGGACCCTCCACCAAGCTGAGCTCCTCGAGCCCCGGAGCCCCCAGTGCCTCGGTTCCCGTCTCCAGATTTCACTTCCCTAGCCGCAAAGAGATGTAGCACCGATCGCCCCACAACCCACCCCACCCCCGGCTCTGCCACAGCTTCCTCCGGCGCCTCCACTCCCATCCGTTACCGGAGGATCCCTAGTCTCAGGAGTCACTGCCTACAGCTGGCCCCAGGCTTCATCCTCAGGTCAGCAGGAAGAACATGAGAATGTCTACCTCTATTTTATTTTGTCTAATCCCTTCAAATGTTTTATTGAGTGTTTTATAGTGTATATAATGGTATGTATATCAACTCGTGGAAAAATTTATGTACCTTTTTTTAGAAGCATTCAAATTTCTTAGGAAGGGGTTCTCTCAGAAGTGTTTGTATACCTCTCTCCATGACACTGCAAGCTCTGGTCTGGAACAGGCTTGGGCGCACTGAGGGCTCTTCTGTGCCCCCCACATTGTTCCACCCGCTAACCCTCCACCCACCTGTGCTCAGTAAGCGGCCAGGCCGGAGCTTAAGCCAGATACATGGCCTCCGAGACACAGTAAACCGGGTCACGCCTGATCCTGAGAGTGACTTGCTGAAGTTTGAGTGACATCTGGGTCCCTTGGGGGAAAGCAAGCAGCTCAGGGTTCACAGCCACACCTCTGCCAAACATTGTTCTCTCTCTCGGCCTTCCTGTGAACTGACAGTGAGCCTCTGAGGGGTGACGGTTCCTACCCTGCCAGGCGCTCAGGGGCAGGTGCAGGCCTGCACTTCAAGACCTGTGGAGAGTGTGTTGTGTAGGTGGCCCTTGAGGTGGTATGTTCATGGGTGCTGCAAAGGCAGGGCCAACATGCAGTCCCGAACTCCTGATCCTCCTGCCTCTGCTTCCCAAGCACTAGGGTGACAGGCATGGGCCATCCACCCAGCTGAGGAGCCTGTAGCTCCTGCCTGGACTTCTGCCCAGGAGACAGAGTCTTCTCAGGTGACCACTGAAGACTTGGCAGTTCAGATCCTCCTGTGGCTGACCTTGCCTTGCTTGCCTGGCCATCACATGACCTCCCCCTCCCAAACCAATTAAGTGCTTCTAAGTGCCAGGGTCTAGGTGGTGTGTACAGGCCTACCCTCCGAGACATGCAGAGAATGCACTGTAGGAGGTGGTCTTTGAAGATGCTGTCTCCATTCCCGGGACACAAAGACAGGCGGGACAGGGATTCAGGGTCCTGTTCCCAGGGCAACAAGACCAGGAGGGGCACAAGCAGGCTCTGGTGATCAGTGGGAGGGAATTCACAAGCTGTCCAGGTAAAAAAATGACATCTTCAGGCCGGGCGGTGGTGGCGCACGCCTTTAATCCCAGCACTTGGGAGGCAGAGGCAGGCGGATCTCTGTGAGTTCGAGGCCAGCCTGGTCTACAAGAACTAGTTCCAGGACAGGCACCAAAAACTACAGAGAAACCCTGCCTCAAAAATCAAAAAAAAAAAAAAGAGTAAAAAAATGACATCTTCATTAACAGCTTTTTCAACAGTAGCTGGAGCAAAGTCAGTTGAAACAGACTCTTGTCCCTGCCTCTCTAAACCATGAGTTGTAAGGCCAGCAACAGTGGTTCCTTTTGGTTCACTAGTCATTTGTGGTTCTTTGTTTATTTGGGTTTTTGTGTGTGTGTGTGTGTGTGTGTTGGTTTTGTTTGGTTTTTATTTTTTGTTTTTGAGACGGGGTTTCTCTATGTAACTTTGACTATCCTAGAACTCACTCTGTAGACCAGGCTGGCCTCAAATTTAGAGATACCCCTACCTCTGCCTCCTGAGTTCTGGGATCAAAGGTGTGGGCCACCACCTGGGTATTTGTTGTTTCTTCAGCCAGGCTCAAGGTTCACATTTACAACTCCAACACTTGGAAGCTGAGGCAGGAGATTATGAGGTTGAGGTCAGCCTAGACTACAAAGCAAGATCCTGTCTCAAAGACAAAGCTAGTCCAGCATGGTAGCACATGCCTGTAATCCAAAAGCTCGAGGCAGAGACAGAAGGATAGCCTTAAATTTGAGACTAGCCTGGTCTACATAATGAGTTACAGGCCAGCCAGGAAATAGAGTAGACGTTATGTCAAATATACCCCCCCCAAAAAAAAAGCCAGGCATGGTGGCATATACCTTTAATCCCAGCTCTCTGGAGGCAGATAGGAGTCTTTGTAGGTTCAAGTTCAGCCTGGTTCAGTGAGTTCCAGGACAGTTTACAAAGTAAGACCCTTATAAAGTAAGACCCTGCCTCAAACAGACAAACAATAAAAATCACCTAAAAATAACATTGACATAAAACTAAACAAAACATTGTGAAGTTGTGCCCCAAAAGACACAGTGTGGGGGGGGGGCAGAAGGGGACTTGAGACCTGCTGGCAACCAGAAAGCTAGCCAGGGGCCCTCTGGCGATGGCACCTCGGAGGGAGGGCTTGTTGACTTCCTCCCAGGTATGGCTTTGGGGAAAGAGAGGATGTGAGCAGGAGATGGGCAGGTGCAGGGAGCTGAGAAAGGCATTCAGTAGGTGCTACACTGTCCAGGCTTGGGGCAGCTGGGACGCTGAAGTGGTCATGGTGCAGGAGACCCTGCCTCAAACGTAAATAGATAGGAACTGGAGAGGTGGTCCAGCCATCAAGAGCACTCGCTGCTCTTGCAGAGGACCGGGGTTCGGTTCCCAGCACCCAGTATTGGCTCACAACCACCTGGACTCCAGCACCAGGGGCTCCAGCGCCTTCTGACTGCCACAGGCTCCTGCACATGCATGGTAGACATACATGCACTCAGGCATACATGCATGCTCATAAAATGTAAATAACTATTTTAAGTTTAAAAAGTTTAATTTTTAAATAAAAAGAATTTTGTTGGAAACTAAGTCAGAATGTTCTTCCCCTCAGCTCCCACTGGAAAAACTTGAAGAGGTGGGCGTGGGATGCAGGCTCCAGCCCTGGGGGCGATGCCAGGCTGTGGGTGCTCAGTGGGGAACTGACTCAAAGCGATTGGCAAGAAGGACCTCACCATGAGGGACGCAGTGGGTGGGTGTCCAGGTGACCTGACACCTTCCCATGGCTTTTCCCTCTGCTCAGACAGCATTCTGATAAAACCAGGCCTCCACAGAAGGGACCGGGCTGGAGGGGCCTTCGTAAATCCAGTGTGCCTTCCCAGAGTGCAGGGCTGGGCTTGAGTGCCGTTGTCAACCAGGCTCTGTAGAGCATCTACACTCGACACAGGAAGTGACCTGGCAGCAGAAGGACCTCAGCTGTGATGATACTGCCAAAGTGGGTGTTTTCTCAACAGTCACTGAGCATGCCCAGAAAGCCACAGACTGGTCCACAGGCCCGGGCCTAGACTGGGGCGAGGGGCCCACAGCATGGGTGGGCAGATATGAGCAGCCCCTCGTGGGGTAGCATGTTCTAGTGCCCAAATCCTCTGCTTCCTTGGTGCCCTGTGTTGTGTCCCTCAGACCCAGGGATCTGGCCCTGCTGTGGCCTTAGGGTTGGTAGCATGGCCTATTCTCTTGTTCAGGTTAGTCTGGGTCCAGGTCCTCAAGGGGTGATTTTGCCTTTCTCTGGACTCCTTTAAGGACAGGCTTGGGCACACAGCTCCATACTCTCAGGTGAGGGAGAACCTCATCCACCCTGGGGTCTTGCTGGGAATTCATCCAGTCAATACAGAGCACAGTAACCGGAGCAGGTGCCCTGTCAGTGGGGTTAGCTACAAATCAATAGACATGGACCACAGCACCTCTCCTCCCTGTCTCTTAGCAGGTGACCGCCCCAGGCTCCTTGATACAGAAAACCCCTTATTGGTGGGGCTAGAGAGATGTTGGAAGCACTGGCTGCTCTTCCAAAGGACCCAGGTTCGACCCCCAGCAACCACATGGCAGCTCACAGCTGTGTATAGCTCCAGTCCCAGGGGATCCAACACTCTCACACAGACGTATGTACAGGCAAAACAGCAAAGTACACAGAAGAAAAATAAGTCATTATAATTTTTTTTTACAAAGTTCCTTGATAAATCAGGCAGTGGTGGCCACACCTTTAATCACTTGGGAGGCAGAGGCAGCTGGATCTCGGTGAGTTCGAGGCCAACTGTTCTACAGAATGAGTTCCAGAATATCCAAGGCTACATACACAGTGTAGAAGGCCGCAACCACACTCTCCACCATAGATGGTGCTGCACCGCCAGGTGAGCTAGAAAGCTCACACGTGTTGGTAACTTTCCACTACTCCCAAGGTATCACCTGGGACTGGGAGCAGTTGACCAATCCAAGAGTGACACGTCCGAAGCTAGGACTGTTTCATATATAAGGGATGGCTTCCTTCATATCTGGGTCTCCGCCATGTGGCTTATGCTCTAGCTCCCAAGGGGCATTAAAGCTATTTCTGCAGAAGGATCCTGTGTCCCGCGTGGTTCTTGCAGGCGAGGCCGAGCGCAGGACAACACAGAGAAACCCTTGTCTCGAAAATCAAAAACAAAAAAGTAATAAAATAAAATAAAATAAAATAAAAGTTCCTTGATAAAGAAAGGCCTTTGTTTGAACACCATCTGGAACTCAGTAGACACAGCCTCCCTCCCTCCCCCATAGGTACCAAGGGAGGACACAGACACCCCTGGAGCCAGCCCTGCAGGGTATCAGGGGGCCTCCTGGATAGCCACAACCTTCAAATTATCTTCTAGCTGCAGGCAGCCTCCCAAGGAGCATCCAGGGGCCTTAGGGTGGAGAGGGCAGATGAGGAAGCCTGAGCGGAGGCCACACACAGCCCCACTCCCGCAGAAGCATGAGGCTTCTTCAGTTGTACTTCTTGGCTGTGCTGGGTGAGTCTCCTGCAGACACCATGGGAAGGGCCTTGAGGAAGTAGGCTCAGGGAATGGGGTGTCAGAGAGTCCAGAGAGAACTGAAGGCAGATGCACCAGAGGGAGAGAGGGTGGATGTGTGTGTGTGTGCGCGTGCGTGCGTGTGTGTGTGTGCGTGTGTGTGTGTTGGGGGGTGTCTGAGCAGGATGTTGACATCAGCCCCATAGATGACACACGCATGTATGACCACGCAGGGCATCACCTCGATTCCACTGGTATGTGTGTGTGTAGTTGCCAGTGTGGTTTCTTATGGAAACCAGACATTGAACATTAAGATCGTGTCTTCTTCAGTCTCATCCCTGCCTTAGTTTTGGAGGCAAAGGCTCTCACTGGCCTGAATTTTGCAGCTTCCCCCGACACCGCGGTTGGAACACGCCCCACACCCACCTTTTTCGGTGGTCACCATGGTTGCACGGTCATCTCTCCTGATTCCGATTCCCATTAACTTGCCTGCACTGGGGATTCCGAGTGTGAGACTGTGCAGAAGAGTTTCCATTCAAGCCAGGTGCATGCCGGAAATCCCAGCACTTGGGAAGTGGAGACAGGAGGATCAGGAGTTCCAGGAGTTCCAGGCCACCCTCAGGGAGATAGTGAGTTCAAGGCCAGGCTGGAATATAGGAGAGAGCCTGTGTGAAGTAAAATAAAACATGCAGTCATGACCAGAGCCACCATCTGGTTCCAGAGGCCTTGTTAGTAGGGCTCAGCCTGGACAGGGAGCTGTCTGGGCTGTCTTCCTCCTCTGCCTAGCTCCGCTTACCCCTCTCCTCTTTTACAGCTGCCTGCAGCTTCTCAGGGGAGCCAACAGAAGGTGAGTAGCCCCGACACCACAGGGGAAAGGATCTAGCTGGGGGCACCTTGGCCAGAGCGGCACGCTTGTGGCAGGTGTCTTGACCAGAAAGAGGTTACTAATGGTGAGGAAGGGGCGTGGGAGGACCCAGATGGATAACTCTGGCTCCACCTCTGCAGGACTGAGTGAGGCCATTAGGAGGCCTCTGGGGCCCATGGGAAGAGGAGGAAGTTTGCAGTGTGTGAAGAGGAGGGGTCCTCAGTAGCTGTGTTCCAGTCACAGGACCCCAGGTCCTCATAGGGAATAGAACTCCCCTGCCCCAAGGCCCACAACTCTGCTTGATGGGTGGGATCCAGAGAAGGCCAGGATATTCTAGAGTGCACTTTCCCTGGAGGGGGAGGGGAGGGAGGGCTTAGACATTAAGTTTTCTTGTTCTGGAAGCAGCTGAGAGTGACTGTTCTCTCTCTCTCTCTCAATATATGTGGGGGGTGGGGAGTGTGCACGTGCATATGTGTGTAATATATACATGTATAGTACATAATGTATACATGTATAGTATGTAATATATACATGCATAGTGTGTAATATATACATGTTTAGTGTGTGATAAATATACATGCATAGTGTGTAATATACATACATGTATAGTATATAATGTATATACACATGTCTTTCTGTCTCCCTTTCTTCCCCTTTTTTGTCTCCCCCTTCTCTTTCTCCTTCCCTGCCCCCTTCTCTCCTCTTTTCCTCCCCAACAGCCCAGGTACAGAGTCAGGGAGGAAAGGGAGTCAGGGAAAGACCACAGTCCTGGGCCTATTCCATCTTCCTCTTTGCCTTCTCCCCTGCCCCTCCTACCTGGACCCTCCCTTGGCACTCAGCCTCATCTCTGTGCCCCTCGGGGTGAGGCAGGCAGTCACCTCTGTGCCTTGTCCTCCGCCTTGCGTCCCTGGGCATCCCCTTCTGTTCTGCTTAAGGAAGGGTGCAGGGTGGTGTTGACGGAGGTCTCAGTCAGATGAGGCGCAGACCAAACTACCATTTCCTCATTTCTGTAAAAAAGAAAAAGGTTATTAGTGTCATAGCTAAAAAAAGAGCTGGTGTCTGGGTCTCAGGAAAGTACCTGGGCAGAGGCAGTCCTGCCTTCCTGTCCCCTCAGCCGATGGCCTCTGCTCAGCTCTGCTGGTGGAGTCCTGCTAAGGAGGCTTCTGAAGGCTGACTGATCCTTTGTTCCTTCACAAATCTTCTCAGAGGATGTTTGTTTGCTGGCACTGTTGCTGGCCATGAGGGTAAAACAGGTACAGAAAGAGAAGCCACTCTTCCTGCAGAGACAGAGGGCGAAAGTGAGCGAGCACCCCGTGCTGTTAGAATCAGGAACATCGGTGGGTGTGGGGTCCGAGGCAGGAGGCTCAGAGGGGCAAGGTTATCCTCAGCAAGGTGGAGGCAAGCCTGGGCTACAGTTAGACCCTATCTTTAAAAGAAAAGTCGGCGAGTGGTGGTACCAGTCCTGGTGGCACACCTTTAATTCCAGCACTTGGGAGGCAGATGCAGGAGGAGCTCTATGAGTTCTGGGCCAGCATGGTTTACACGGTGAGTTTCAAGACAGCCGGGGCATCATAATGAGACCCTGTCTCAACAAGCAAAAGCAGAACACAACAACAGAACCCAGCAGCTGTCACCGCAGCAGGCATGTGTGGAGAGGGATCTGTTCTATTTCCACCCCAGGACGCCAACTGCGCTGTCTTAGCGTGGCGCTTCCAGTTCCCACCTATGCAAACCAAGCTTCTATTCCGGGCCGCCAAAATGGAAATGAGAGGAACCGTTTTTTCTTTTCACTTTTATAAGTCAAGCTCATTGCTCTCCATGAAGGGAGCAGAAAAACAAACAAACATGTAACCACAGCTGGGCCCTCAACTCCTTTCCCACCCAGTGAGACAGAGTCCAGCCCTGAACACCTCCCTTGGACACTGAAAAGACCTGTTGTCCCCAAAGGTCAAGTGACAGGAGTCTTGTTACAAGTCTGCCAGACGGAGCCCAGAGAAGGTCTGATATCTCAAGTTAGAAATCTATTTTGATTAAAAAAATCCAAAAAGCAAAAAAAAAAAAAAGAAAGAAAAAGAAAAAAAAAAGAAAAAGAAAAAAAAAACTCCCTCACAATGAAGGATACTCAACAAAGTGTTTAAAAAGCTGCAGAAAAGCCAGGCACTGGTGGTGCATGCTTTTAATCCCAGCACTTGGGAGGCAGAAGCAGGCGGATCTCTGTGAGTTTGAAGCCAGCCTGGTCTACAGAGTGAGTGAGTTCCAGGACAGCCAGAGCTATTACACAGAGAAGCCCTGTCTTGAAACCGTCCCCCGCGCCCCCTAAAAAAAAACCCACGGAAGATAAGTGCTCTGTTGTGGCTGGGGCAGGTGTCTCCAGAACTTGTCCTCTATCCAGGGGTTGCTCCTGTCTCAGCCGGTTCCTCCCTGCTGTGGGGTATGGAATGGAGTCCCTGACCTCAGCACTCGGCTGAAATGCAGTAGACACAAGTTCCTCTGAAGCAGAAATTAGGATCTGAAAGAAAGTGTGTGCAGTGGTCAGAAACTTGGGGAGTCCTGGGCTTGAAGCCTGTCCACGGGAGTTTTTCTTTCTATTTTCTTGCAGGGGGTGGGGGTTTCAAGACAGGGTTTCTCTGTGTAGCTCTGACTGTCCTGGAACTCACTCTGTAGACCAGGCTAGCCTTGAACTCAGAGATTCACCTAACTGAGTGCTGGGATTACAGCTCTGTGTCACCACGCCTGGCCCACGGGTACTGTACAGTGTACAAGCCTAGTAGAGCAATGGCAACCTATATGGTCGGGAGTCTGGGATGTTAAGGATTTCCTCCTCTTTTTCTTTGAGACAGTTTTCACTGTGTAGTTTTGGCTGTCCTGGACTATGTAAACTATGTACACAAGGCCAGCCTTAAACTCACAGAGATCTGCCTGCCTCTACCTCTCAAAGGCTGACACCATGCCTTCTCTCTATCTCTCCCTCTCTCTCTCTCTATGTGTGTGTGTGTGTGTGTGTGTGTGTGTCTATGTCTGTGTGTGTATGTGTTTGTGCACCAATGCATGCAGTTCCCACAGAACCCAGCAGAGGGTTTGGATTCCCTCTGGGAGTGGAGTTACAGGCAGTTGTGGGCGACTGTGTGACTCTGAGCGGTTGTGAGGCACTGTGTGACTCTGAGCGGTTGTGAGGCACTGTGTGACTCTGAGGGGTTGTGAGCCACTGTGTGACTCTGAGCGGGAAGCATTCTTAACCACTGAGCCATCTCTCCAGTCCCCAAAGGGTGCTTACACAGCAATTTCCCTCCCGTCTGACTCCATGGCATGGAGTCACGTTATATTGGTATTATGGCATCAAGAAATGGGTGGGGCTCACTTCTTCCTTTTGACCTCACTGGAAACCAGACTGAGGACCTTGCCCATGCCTGGCTCAGGATCTGCCGTGGCATGATGCCTCTAAACCCTCGTTCATCCTCGAGATTAGATCATATCCCCTGCACAGACTGTGTTCTACTGTTAGGATTTGAAGTTGGTTCCATCTCTGGGTAGCTGTGACCGGAGCTGCCCTGACATGTGTGTGACGGATCCGTCCAAGTCTGTCTTTGATTCTGTTGGGATGTGTCCTGGAGTACACATGCTGAGCCATCACTAATTCTTTTAACTCCTCCCACACCTTTTTTTTTTTTTTAATGGTGCTGGAGATTGAACTCAGGGTCTTAGAATTGATTGCTAGTCTTGTATTCTACCACTGAGATACACTCTCAGCCCCTATGTTTACACTTCTTTAAAAAACCCATTTGTGGGGCTGGAGAGATAGCTCAGTGGGTTACGAGCCCGGGTTCAACTCCCAGCACCCACATGGCAGCTCATAGTTGACTGTAGCTCCAGTTCCAGGAGATCTGACACCCTCACACAGACAGACATGCAGGCAGGCAAAACGCCAATGCACATAAAATAAAAATAAATAAATCATTTAAAATTTTTAAAATTTATTTGCTTATGCGTGTGTGTATCTGCATGCGTTTTGGTGAACCACCTTCGCACAGGTGCCCTTGGAGGCCAGGAGAGAATGTCCATCCCCAGTCCTGAAGTTACAGGTGGTTGTGAGTTGACTGATACAAGCCGGAAACCAAAACCCAAATCTCCTAGGACTGCTCTTGACCGCTGGGTCTTCTGTCCAGCTCCAACTATTTAAATTTTTGAAAAATTATCAAACCAGAGTTTTAAAGTACTTGGTCCATCTTGGTTTCTTTCTTTCCCTGACTTGCTCACCTCCCAGACATCACCATTGCCTACAAAGTGCTGGAAGTTTATCCTCAAAGCCGCCGGGTGCTTATAACCTGCGACAGCCCTGAGGCACCCCGGCCCATCACTTACTCTCTCCTGGCTAGCCGAGGGGTCCCGGTGGCGAAAAGGGTTGTGCATGACGACAAGCCGGCCTCCTTCAACATCAACGTCACGCTCAAGTCCAGCCCAGACCTGCTCACCTATTCCTGCCGAGCGTCCTCTGATCTGGGCACCTATGGGCCCAGCAGCTGGCTGCAGATGTACTGGGAGCTGTGGACCAGTGAGTACAGAGGGTGCGGGCTGGTGAGGCTGGTGGGATGTGGATCCGTGGAGGGGCTGGGAGAGGGGATGGTGGACTTTGAGATGGGGGGAGACAGGAGGAGGCGGCAGAGTGGGGACAGAGGACAGACTGCCTGCCTCCAAGGCTGTGTCCAGTCCGTGGGTGACCAGAGGACACAGTCTCCCGGCAGGGGCCAGAAGGCTCAGTGGGGTCTGAATGGAGCTGGTCATCAAGGCATTGGAGGCAGTCAGGTTCCTCACTGCCACTGTGGAAGTCAGCGTTCTCTGAGGTTGAGGGTATTGCTTAGACTACCCGTAAGTGACCACATCTGCTTTCATCTCCCACGCTACCCCCCCCCCCGACCTTTCTTTCTTCCCTTTCCACCCAAGCTGTCACTCTCTGTTAATAGGAACGAGGAAGTATTGCTCGCCTCCACGAGTCCAGCATCCTTACCCTCCAAAAACACCAAGGCCAAGAACCTAAAAGAGGGTGCCCAGGGTCTGAAGCCCAGCACGTGGAAGGCTGGGATCTCTTTGTGAGCTGACTGTGGGGTCTTGAACATGTCTCTCCATGTCTGGGTCTCGATTGCTTTGCCCATGAAACAAGATGATAACAAGACACCCCAGGGGAGGGGGGTGGGCTTAGAAAGATGCGAGAGAGGTGACACTCGGCACTGATGGGGCTAAGCGCAGGCATAGGACAGTTAGCTACTGGTCAGCAGGGTTGCTCAGCAGAGTCCTGAAGACCCCAGCACCTCCATTCTTCTAAGCGGTGGCCTTTGTCTGAAAGAGTTTGTCATCCTGCCCCACAGTTCTCACCTTTAATTGCTAGGCCAGAGGCCTGTCGGGCTAGGTGAGCACCCAATCACTGAGCTACATCCCTAGCCTAGCTTACAGATTTATTTATATTTTATGGATATGAGTGTTTTGCCTCTATGTCTGTGCTCCACATACGTGTAGTGCCATGGAGGCCAGATGAGGTTGTCAGGGCCCCGGAAGTGCAGTTGCAGATGGTTGTGAGCCTCCATGTGGGAGCCAAGAACCAGACTAGGGTCCTTTGAAAGCCGCAAGCACTTTTTTCTTTTCTTTCTTTTCTTCTTCTTTTTTTTTTCTTCTTCTTCTTCTTCTTCTTCTTCTTCTTCTTCTTCTTCTTCTTCTTCTCTCTTCTTCTTCTTTTTCTTCTTTTTCTTGAGACAGGGTTTCTCTGTGTACTCCTGTCTGTCCTGGAATTCACTATGTAGACCAAACTGGCCTTGAACTCAGAGATCCATCTACCTCTGTGGCTCCCATCCCCAGTGCTGGGATTAAAGGTATGGGCCATCACACCTGGTCAGGTCTCACATTGTAGCCCAGGTTGGCCTGGAATTTGCTGTGTAGTCCAGGCTGGCCTTAAATTAATGGGTGTTTCCCATGTTTCCAACTGTTTTTGTTTGTGTGTTTCTTTCTTGTTTTTTAATTAAAAGATTTTTATTTGTTTGTTTGTTTTTGAGGCAGGGTCTTTCTACATAGCTCTAGTCGTTCTGGAACCCACTCTGTAGACCAGGCTGGCCTCGAACTCACAGAGATCTGCCTGCCTCTGCCTCCAGAGTGCTGGGATTAAAGGTGTGTGCCATGCCTGGCCTATTTGTGTGTGGTTTTTAGGGTGTCTTTGGAGGCCAGAATCATAAGGCCCCCTGGAGTCAGAGTTACAATGGTTGTGAGCTGTACACCATGGGTGCTGGGAGCCTACTGGGTCTTCTGCAAGAGCAGAAAGCAGTCTGACTCCTGAGGGCTAGGGTTTCAGGCACGTGCTGCCTTGTCCAGCCAGGTCTCTATTTAAGAACTTAGAAAGCAGCTGCCTGGGAATCCTGACTGCTGTCTGCTTGGTGTTAGCTTGGTGATATGGAACCTAGCTCTTATGAGTCCATTTTTTATTTTTAGCCTGGTCCCCGCAGGAGTTTAGTCCATAACATTTTTAAAATTACCTAATGATGTCAGGTGGTGGTGGTGCACATGCCTTTAATCCCAGTGCTCAGGAGGCAGAGGCTGTCTGCTCTCTGAGTTCGAGGCCAACTCGGGCTAGAGAATGAGTTCTAGGACAGTTAGGGCTACACAAGGAAATCCTGTCTCGAAAACAAAACAAAACAAACAAACAAACAAACAAACAAAAATTGTTGTTGTTTTTTTTCCAGTCAGGGTTTCTCTGTGTAGTCCTGGATGTCCTGGAACCCACGCTGTAGACCAGGCTGGCTTTGTATTTACAGAGATTGCCTGCCTCTGCCTCCCGAGTGCTGGGATTAAAGGCATATGCCACTACCACCTGGCTCACAAAAGAGTTTTTAAAAAAAATATTTTAAGATTGAATTGTATAGTATATGCTATAAGCACCTAGAAGCCTAGACAAGCAGGGCAGAGGGCAATCTGGCAAGCTGCCAGGGGAAGGTGGCATTCATAACTATGTCTCTGGGTTCCTTTGACATATGAAGAGGAGGACGTATTGGGAGCCTGAAAATTTCTCTGTCTCACCTGTGCTGCCCTGTCTTCCCCTCCCGGTCAGAGCCCGTGTCCCAACTGCAGGCTGACTTCACCCTACGTGATGTGGACTCAGGCCCCATGGCGGAGCTGTCCTGCCTGGCATCCTCAGGCAGTCCACCCATCATCTACCGCTTGGTCGGGAATGATGGGCGTGTACACGCACAGCAGAGATCCCTCCACGGGAAGCCTGCCAACTTCTCTATCCCGCTGTCCCAGACGTTTGGCTGGTTCCATTGCGAAGCTGCAAATAGCGTCAGTGTCGAGAGCAGTGCCCGCGTGCTGCTGCCCCCAGGTGAGAAGGCCCTTCCAGACCTGGAGCGGGGGCTGCAGTGTGTCCAGGAAGGTGGCCAGGACTGGGGAAGGGCTGGACCTGGCACTGCCCAGGGCACGATGGCCCTGAAGATGCTGCATGCCTCCTTTGCCCCTGGCCTAGCAGAAGCCCAACCCACACTCCTTCCCACCCTACAGGGGAGCTGCCCCTGACACCCACCTGCATTCTGGCCGGCAGCCTGGTCTCCATTGCCGCCATTAGTTACGGGATGCTGAGGTCAAGCAGGTAATAATCCACGGAAGCCTGATGTGGGGCAAGAGGCCAACCACCTCCTTGAACTGCCAGGGTTCTAAGTGGGAACAGCAGGTTAGTCTTGTGAGATGGGTTGTCATCGAGATATAGCAAGGGCCCAGCCTGGAGCTGCTTATTAAAGCCAAAAACCTACAGTGTCTAGCATGTTCCTTTCACACCCCACCCTAATCAGGGCTCTCAGCCGACTTCTGGTGGGGGACTTCCCTATGGGTCTCATGGAGCCTCAAGGCACCAGAGTGGGCCAGGGGCTTCTGGCCTGCATAGCCCTCCACAGCGGTCCCACCGGCCAACCTTTCTGCAAAGGTGAGGCCTCCCAAGTTTCCCTCTCGAAGCCTTCACATCTCTGACATATACAGTGGCCAGGGCCACTGTGTGGTCTGGCTCCAGGTACCACAGATCTCTGAGCACCAACTACTGGCCTTTGGATGGTGGTCAATTCTGTCTCCTTGAACATCTCAGCTTGGCCCCTGTTGGAGCTCCTGGTTCCTCTTCCCAAGACTATCCAGAGGTTAGACTCTCGGGAGGGTATGTCACCTCTCTGAGACTCATTGTTTTCCTCTATAAAATGGGGGTACAGAGGCCTACCTAGCTCCTGCTGACCATGTCACCAGAGGCCAGCGAGTAACCTCTTGGTGATTCAATGCCTTTAGTGGCGTGAGTAAGAAGCTCACTGATGCTCTTGAAACGGTAAGATTGGGTGAGTCTGCCTGACCTGGACTGTCAACTCTCTTGTCATCAGGTTGTGACCGGAAGACAGAGTCCCCAGGCTTGCCTCCCTGCCCTACACAAGAATTCATCACTGCAGCGAAAAAGAGCCCGGGGAGAGGGTACAGAAAGGGGAGCATATGCAGATCAGGGTACCAAAAGTAGTGCACCCTCAAGGGGCCCTGAAGTCTAGAGCATTATTGTGTATAAGGCCCAAAGAAATAAACTTGTATTGTGTAGGGGATTCCTGCGGTGTGAGTGGCTGTTGGTGGCTCTTGCTACAAGAACAATACGAGTAACTGTGTGGGTGTGCTTCCTCGCGGTGCACTGGAGCCCAGCTCCTCCACACCGAGGGTGGCGTAACTGAAGAGGGGGTCACTGACAATTTGGTAATAGTAAATGGTTTCTGTGTGTGGTGGCTCACACCTGTAATCCCAGAATTCAGGAGGTAAAAGAAAAAAGAGTTTAAGGCCAGTCTTGGTACATGAGTCAGATCTCAAGGAACCAACCAACTAACGAAAGTAATAAAAACAAAAATTGAGGTGTTGGCTGAGTGTGATGCTGCACACCTTTGATTCCAGCACTTGGGAGACAGAAGCAGCAGGATTCCTGTGAGTTAGAGACCAGCGTGGTCTACACAGTGAGTTCCGGGACAGCCAGGCTGCATAGTAGGACTCTGTCTCAAAATTAAAACAACAACAACAACAGAATCTAAAAAGGGGCTTGCGAGATGGGTAAAGGTGCTTGCTGCCAAGCCTGACAGCCTGAGGTCAACCCCAGGGACCCACACAGCGGAAGGAGAGCGCTGTCTCCTGCGAGAATCCCTCTCCGTCACATGTGCCATGTCATCTGCCACCCACCCCCACACCAGGCACAAAGCAAATCAATGTGATGGGAAAAGATTTCTTTGTTTGTTGTTTGCTTCCCAAGACAGGGTCTGTCTGTCTGTGTAACAGCTCTGGCTCCTGAAATTCGCTTTGTAAACCAGGCTGGCCTCAAACTCACAGAGATCTGCCTGCCTCTGCCTCCTGAGTGTTGGGATTAAAGGCATGTGCCACCACAGTCTGGCTAAATTTATTTATTTATTTTTAATCTAGAAAGAAAGAAAGAAAAAAATAGAAAGAAAGAAAGAAAGAAAGAAAAGAAAGAAAGAAAGAAAGAAAGAAAAGAAAAGGAAGGAAGGAGGTGTGAGAGAGTCCTGCCACCAGCAGAATTCCTTCGGCAAACACTCAGGGTGTGTGTGCAGATTTTAGGAGTTAGACAGCCAGGAGTGGCCCCGGGCTCACTCACCAGCCACTTGCTACCCTCTGTGTAAGGTGGGGAGCCTGGGGGTGGACTGTTAAAAGGTCCAACTCCTTCTGTGCCCATTCTGGTGGGCCAGGTTTCTGCCCCAACTTCCCTTTACAGTCCAGCCCCTCTCATTACAGAAGTATGGATGTCCTCATTGCTCCTTACCCACTGAAGTGACTATGGTAGTGCCATCTTGTCCTGATTCCAGTTTGTGTCAGCCCTCTACACTTCTCAACAGCTGTGATTGCCTTGGCAGCCAATTGTGTTGCCAACGTAAGCATACAACCCCTTCACAGAATAAGCACCTGGTTCCCTTTCTAAATGCTATTTTTTGCGGGGAAGAGGAGCTGGGTTCTGTAAACCAATTATCTTATTTAATTTTTAAAATTACATTCCTCTCTCTCTGTGTGTATGTGTGTGTATGTATGTGTGTGTGTTCGCGCACTTGTGTGTTTTGAAACAGGATCTCAGATAGCTCAGGCTGGTCTTGAACACCTATCCTTCTCCTCTTCTCTACCTCTTGAGACCATCTGAACATTTATGAGCCTAGGTTCTGGGTTGGTGGGATTTGGGTGTCTGGAGAGTTTTTCTAGAGAGGACCAGAAGCCAGGTGTAGGTGTAAGGTGGTGGCCGGCCACCAAGGGTTTCTCTTCCAGGGGGTTCTCTGATCTTTCTGGTTGAGACCTCCCAGAGGTGAGCTTTTCCTCCCTTCTGCCCCACCCTGGCGCCACCGCAGGCGCAGCTCCAAGGTCCTGCCACCTGGCACGGCGCAGCAGGCACTGAGGGACACCCTACAGCGAGTCCCCGGCGGCTGACCACGCCCTCCTTCGGCGGCCGGGCACGCCCCCAGGGGCCAGAACGGGGCGGGTAGGTCCGGCTGGTTCTCGGCCATCCGCGGCTCGGCGGCGACGGCGACATGGAGAGCGGGGCCTACGGCGCGGCCAACGCGGGCGGCTCCTTCGACCTGAGGCGCTTCTTGTCGCAGCCTCAGGTGGTAACGCGCATCGTGAGCATGGTGAGTCGGCCAGGGGGGATCCGGAGCCGC